CTGTTGCAAGCTACTTTTCTGTTTCAAAGAAATATCTTTCTTTTTTCTTTTCGTGGATTGATCAAAATCACCTTATGCAATGCATAACCTATACCATTAATAAAGGCAGCTGTTTTTACCCAACTCAATCTGGTGGGCTTACTAGTTCGAATCAAAGAGTGGGGTGAATGGAAAACAGCTTTTAACACAAGGTATGGACATTACCAATACACCGTTGTAATGGACCCTCCGTCAATCGATGCTCCTAGTGTTTACCAAGGACCATCAGCACCGCACCAGACACCATAAGCACTGCAGACCCCACAAACCGCCGCAGCTTGGTGGGGGTCTCGCCATCTCCTACCCACCCTGGACCTACAACAAGGAGCTACAACAAGGAGACACTGAATGTCCTACAACAAGGACCTACAACAAGGAGACACTGAATGTTTGGATGCATTTTAGGCAGCCATGACCCAGTGGGTGAACCTCTCTTCCTTCAGAGAGCGAAGCAGAAACAGCTTTTAGAAGAGCTAGTGATTAGCATCCAGAGGAGTATACATATATCTCCAGTGTGATATAGCAGTACCCTACAACACAAGATGAGGCTGCGAGTTGAGGGTAAGAAGGTCTGAAGGTTTATTGAACAGCTTGAGTTTTTATACAGTTTTTCCCCACAAGGTTGATGCCCAGGTGAACCTTGTGGGGCACAGGACACAGAATTAACAAACTAATAAAAACAGAGTCTTACATGCAGACACTCCCCTACAGTGTACACAATCCCTCCCCTCTGTCTGTGATACAATTAACAAAGACAATGGGCTAACTCAATTAACTCTAAACAGAAAAAACTAATTTTTACAAACCCCAAAAAGTACCCTAAAATACAACATATCCCCACAATCCGCACATATCCCCACAATCCCCTTATAGCCCAGATCTGGGTGAACAACATATCCAAAAATCACCCAGATCGGTTCAGGAATTTCATGGAAGTCTTATTTTTGCCCCACCGTGCACATGGTTCCATGCCCAAAACAGCTCCATACACCCGACGACAAAACACTGCTCGACAATTTAAGATGGCCGCCGCCACAGGTTTGAATCTGTTCCAGTTAAAAGTTCAAGGGGCAGAAACAGTACTTTTGAACATGGGTTATCATAGGGCCCATAGTGCCAGGGTAGGAGGCTGGCAAACAGGCCCCTCCAAAAACCAGTGGCGAAGTTGCTTTCGTCACAGCCATCACGCCATTCGGTCTCTGTAATGCTTCAGCTGTATTCCAAGATTTCATAAACTATGTATTAAGAGACCATTTACATAACATCTAAATCTATTCTAAGGATATTGAGAATCACCATAAGCATCCTTTCTAAGTTACTTGAGAACGGGCTGTATTATAAACTCGAAAATGCCTATTTGACAAAACAGAGAGACTTTTCGGGATCTATAATTTCCGGTACTGGGTTTAAGATAGATCCCAAAAAGCTTAAAGCAATACTAGATTGGCCTTTACCAATCGGATTGAAAGCCATATAGCATTTTCTAAGGTTTACCATTTATTATAGTAAGTTCATAAAGGATTTCTCCTCCATAAGTGCGACGATCACTTCTGACAAAAAAAGGGGAGGGCTCATCAAGAATGGACATCAGAGGTCCTTGCAACCTTCGAGTCTCTTAAAACAGCTTTTGCCTCTGCACCCATATTGGCACACCTTGACTCATCTCAGCCTTTTTTGTTAGAAGTGGATGAGTCGGGTGTATGGGGCAGTACTCTCTTACAAGCCTTTGGTAGATCAGCCTCTTCATGCTTGTGGTTTTTACTTTAAAACGTTAACTGACACAGAAAGACATTATGATATTTGGGACAGAGAATTGTTGTCCATAATAACAGCGTTAAAGGAATGGAGACATGTTTTAGACGTTCACACACTCAAGTGAGGATTCTTAGGGATCGTTGGTCCCTGTTCTTATCTTGTTTTAATTATATGGTAACATACAGGCCTGGCTCTAAAACACTAAAGCTAGTGCTTTATCTCAGTCATTCAAATGCCAAACTAATACAGAACCCCAAATGCATCCATCATACCCAAGAGTGTATGTTAGCCACAACCAAGATCATGTCAGGGTTGATTAATCAATTAGAAAATCGACATGAACAAGCATCCAATCAAACACCACCACACAAGTTATAGGTACCACAAGAAGATAGAGAAACTGTGTTTGGCTGTTTCTCTCTCTTTTTCTCTCCCTCCCTCCCTATAAAAAAGATGTTTGGGATTATGTAAAGGCCTGTGTAACTTGTGCTGTGAACAAGTCGCTCCATTAACAACCATGCGGTTCACTTCAGCCATTGCCTACTCCAAACAGACCATGGTCTAGTTTGGCAATGGATTGGTGGTAGACCTTCTGGCATCTGAAAATATGATGCTAATATTAACCAATATTGATAGATTTTTTAAGGTGGTTTATCTGATATTGTTACCTGAATTACCAACCTCATCTGAACTAGCCACTGTTTTACTAGAGATGTGGTGCGATTACAAGGATTACCCAGAGAGATTATTTCTAATAGGGATTCTCAATTTATAACCCGATTTTGGAGAACCTTTTGTAAACAGGTGGATATCCAAATGAATTTTGCTTATTTTATTCCCCAGAAACCAGTGGTGCAAAAAATGAACCAAACCTTGAACAATATTTGAATATATTTCGTCACAGCCATCACGCCATTCGGTCTCTGTAATGCTTCAGCTGTATTACAAGATTTCATAAACTATGTATTAAGAGACCATTTACATAACATCTAAATCTAGACCAAGGTAACCTGGCCAGTCTACTCCCTTGGGCAGAGTTTGCTCATAACAACAATGAAATCTTTTTCTTCAACTGGTATGCTGGTAGTTGAGGAGCATTTGGAAGAGTTACATGAAACATGGCTTGGAGTTCAACAAATCCTTACACAAAAAGCTGTCCTCCAAAAGAAAATGCTGATAAACATTGTACAGCTGCTCCTGTGTATACTGACGAGGTATAGGTAAGCAGCAAGAATATCAGATTGAAGGTTCCATCCATGAAGTTTGCTCCTCACATCGTCGGACCTTTTATAATAGTTAAAAGACTCGATCCAGTATTCTGCAAGTT